AGTTCTGTCTATTTGACAAACATTTATAAGTATACAGGATGCTAGAAATCAATTTGTGAAGGAATCGGTCCATTTGCTCCAAAGTTATAGCATAAACGGTCAGGAAGATATTGCCACATTGAGGCTGGAGGGGTTCGGTACGCCAGAACTAGTGATATAATGATTTGATTGACTTGGTTTTTGCTGTCGTGGGTAGATTGACATCACTAACTGATTATGAAAGCCACACCCGAAACAAAAACTACGACTGTGGCCTTGATAGTGGTGCCGCGTCAAGGGGAGGAGGAGGAGAACGTCTACCCAGGGGGTACTGCAGTGGTTGAAATTGTTGGTGATGTTGACATTATGATTGGACAGTATAGTTTGACGTTTATGAAGACGATCTACGGTACAACATCAGTAAAAATGCTTCTGCATCAATTGTGGGGCGCTGAGGGGGTAAAACAGTGTATTGGGCCACAGTATAATCACAGGAGCATCCATTTACACGTTTTTGGCATCGTCCTTGTTGTGGTAATTTATTTTGAATACATGTAAACACCAAACAAACACCGGAACCATAGCTGGTAGACAGCAACAAAACAAAATCATGTTTTCGCTGGTGGAGTAGGTGCACATGTGGTATTGGGGGCGTATATGGTCCAGATCTTTCTCAAATGCTGTGCGATCATAATGAGGTGTGGTATGGTGCATTGGTACATCATATGTAATGTTTTTGGGTCACTCACCATGTCAGAAACAGTCTGTGTGGTACATTATGTATGCAAAATGTCAGCTTTTTGGCTGTAAATGGTCAATTCTGCAGCGTGTTCGGATTTCTGAATTTAATTGGGGCAGTTGTAGACCAATCCCCGTTGGGGTTAAGGTATTTGCAATGAAAGTTAGGCCTCCAAAAAAAATCCAAAGTGGTCAGCTAGCATATACATCTCAGACTGCTTGGAACATTGTTAGTGACATGATGTTGTAAAGGGACTAGTCTGGTTTAACTTGCAAGATCCAAATGAGTGTTCTGAGCAATCTGAGATGTATATGTTAGCTGACCACTTTGGATGTTTCTTGGAGGCCTAACTTTTGTTGCAAAGACCTTA